GTTGAAGGCCATATTCTAGCGAAACAAAATAAAAAATTGCATTCCTCCTCATGTCTTCTTATAAATCGATAGTTCATTGAAAACAATAATCACTCATACAATGATTTGAAAATGTCTATTGTGTAGACTTTTTAAATTGACAAGCAAACCTTTTTTTTGGAAAACGTGTAGCGGTACGGAATAATGAACTATTTAATTATAAGAAATCACGAATATTATTAATTTTCCAAAATTTTATACAGAATTTTATTCACAACGTTTAATTATTCATAATGAATAACTCGCGCTATTCTTAGTAACATGTCCCTTCGGGAAACATCATTAAGAAATTACTTAGTAGAACCCAACGTCAGCAAAGTGCTGGTTCTTGTGAAGGCTGATAAGATTGAGATAACGAAGGAGGATTTTTCTAGGGGTGCATCTATGTACCTCTAGGAAATATGTAACCTTCATTTAATCCATCCAATAGGGATGAGCAAATTTCTCGATCATCAAATAAGAATGCACAAATTTTTAACGTCAATAAAACAATCCGACACAAGAAATAAAAAAGCGAATATTTAGAGAAAACCAGTGTCTAAATCTGTATTGGAATCCTAATTAAAAATGTCCGGAAGACAATTTTACTTACAGCCTTGTTTCCTAAGCCTTCCTTATCCTTACCCTGATTTTATAAATTATTAACCGGGACAATACATTCCCCAAATGGGGTATTGATAATCACACATTTACTAATTGGGCGGGGCACATATGTTTCGAGCACCATTAAAACGTTCGTAGTGGCATTTTGAGTATTACTTTTTACGCGGATTTTTGCCCCGTATTTATGCTGTTTCCAAATGTTTTGCAATGAAGTAGAACCAGTTTCCACGGGGAGTTCCAATGTCACGCATTAAATAATTTTGTGTCATATCTAGTCCTCAGATTTGATGGTTTTGACAAGTTAAACTGTAAAATAATAATAAATTAAGTCAATTAATTATTTTATCAGTTTATTTTCATAATTTTTACCAGAGTTTATAATTATTCATTTTTACTAAATTTCATCATACGTAATTCAGGTAACAAAATTCATGCAGTACATACAGTACAAAGCTTATAAATATACTGTGTACAATTTAGCCAATCGTATACTAAAGTTTAATATAATTTTAAGTCAACTTCCATGGACGTTATTTCGAAAATCATACCCTTGAAAATAGCATACATGCTTTCAAAATAATGCCCATGAGTGTTTCGAAATAATGCGTATCTTATATAATGTATGGGTAGATTTATATATAGTAAAGTTATCATATAAACATAGACATATTATATTGAAAAATCTAAATGTATACGTATTAATAAATACCTAGAACGTAATATAAGATTACTGCTATTTTTCACATGAGTTATATTTCATTATGCTCAGTAAAAGGATTGGTTAAATCAATAATATCATGATAGGACTCGTCTTGATAATATCTTGAAACTTGATAATGCCCTTGAAGATTAGACATGTTTTGATTATATTCTTTGAACTGAGTATTAGAAATTCGAATCAAATATAACTGTTTCACTTCTAATGAAATTTTTTCGTAGGCTTTTTTATGTTGTTCAGACAGCATTTTCCAGTGATAACTAGCAAAGCGAAATATTTCAGAGGCGTCTCCAAGCTTAATCTTTCGAGCATTTAATCCTGCCGCAATACATGCTCGATATACAAGGAACTTAGGGTGTACGATGTAAATAAAATCACATAGTCCACGTTACATAATGTAGATCATAATTGACTTTTTAATGGGAAATAATTATCATCAATCACCGGGAATTTGATTTTTTTTTATTAATAACTAAAAGAGGCTAGCATTTTTGATGGCTTACAAATGATTTGAAAATGGCGTTGGCGTTGCCGATTCCATCATTTTCTGCTTCCTTTTCTAATTTTTTTTTCATTTTTATCTTGCAATATTGTATGAATATCTTTGAGTTTTCTCTTGTAATATCAAAAGAGTTAGCACTAGGTGTTGACAAAATCATCCGAGCTTCTTGAAGTTCAAAATCCATAACGATTAAAAAATTCTTTCTAGTTGTTGCTGGTGAACAACAATAGTCCAAATTCGATATTTGATGAAATTATAAATAAGAGGATATAACCAAAAAGGTTGGATAGAAGGTGAGGTTGCAAAATTGTAAAATTCATTGTAAAAAACTTCATCTTTTAAAGCCTCAGATAATCTAAATTTTCTCCTTTGATATCTTCTTCTAGGCTTTTCATATTCAGAATTCAACCGACATTATGAATCTATAATTTCGCCGGTAGAGTTTCTTTTTGTATATATCATTGTATTCATAAGAGAAAGTGCTCGAGGAACCTCTTTTTCAGGCAAGTTTTCAACTTTAGCAACTAACATTTGTCGTTTTTTGAGGAGGGGGGGGGGATTTCTTTGAAGGAGGTTTCTTATAAATTTTTCTTGCTATATGGGCTTTTATAAGATGTAAATTTTGTTTTGTTCGTGGAAGCATCTTGAAACTTTAAAAGTTATAAGCTTATTCAAAATTGGTTTTTTTACAAAAAAAATCGTTGTTCTGAATATATTTTTAATAATAACGCGACTTTTTTTATTGTATTAATATTATTATTGTTAATTTTCTATTTTAAAATCAAACTTTTTTATTTACTGCAAATATTCTATTTTATTCTAACAAATATAGAAAGTCTCGTTATTAGTATATAGATAAATAATTTGTCTATCATATTATAATGTTAAAAATAGTTCCTAATACTTATTTATAACAGACCTTTTTTTCGAGAGATTTTTTCTATATATTTAACGGATTACAAAATTGTACTACCAACAATCCTTATTAATGATCTACATTATGTATGTAAGTGGACTATGTTTGTGATTCTATTTACATCGCACACCCTAAAGGAATTTGTTTGGCGCTTTAGCCGCTATCTCCTTTGTTTTTAAAAAAATCTTTAGCTGAAAGAAACGGGATTTAGACGGTACAAAAGAGATATTTGGTGGAATATAATCCATTTTATATTTTAAAATTTAATAATGCGAATGAGTAACAAATGTCTTTGAAGTATTAAAACTATAGAATTGTTTATTATGTTCACAACAAGACGATTAAATAGACTTTTTCTGTTGCATAAAGTTCAACAAAATTATAATAAAAGTAAATATCGATAGTATTTATTTATAAACTATTAATTTTTTGCCCAATATATGCTTCAAAATATAAATGTAAAGTACCTGATGATATTCCTTATATAGAGGTAATTTTAATATACATATTAATTATTGGTTCTCAAATCCTGTTCTTATATAGCGTGTTCTTATAGAGAGGTGTGACTGTATTTGAAAAGTACCTGATAGAATTCCGTTTCTGTTAATAAAATCTACTAATTTGAGAATTTTTGGAAGTATCATTCCAAAAAATGATCACTTTTTGAAACAGAATCAAATAATGAAAATTGGCGGTGTGTTTTCGGAGTATAAACAGTCCAAAACTGGATCACATTAATTGAAATTCTTTATAGTGTAACATACAATATACAATATAAATCTTTTCTATTTAAACGGAATCTGAATAACTAAACAATATCTTTGAATTTTTAAAAAGCTTTTATAAATTCTAAAGAATTCAAATTTTATTGATTAATTTCCATGTATAAAGCATTCGATCCTTTATCAAAAGTTCCCATAGAAGAATTTCTAAAACCTAGTACTCGTAAAGGAAACAAGCCGGCTAAGCCACCTAATGCATTTTTTATTTATCGCAAAATTCGCCAGGAAATTCTGAAACCTCAAAAACTATCTCAGCCGAATATTTCTGGAATGTTGGGTCAAGCATGGAAAGAAATGCATCCAAGTATCAAAAATGAATATTTGGAATTTGCCAAACGAGTTAAAGAGGAATTTGACAAATAAGTTAAAGAAGCTAAGTTGGCTCAAAACAACATAGTTGCTAATGGTAATATCAGTGGCAATCAATATCAAATGACAACTGAAAGTTACTTCTTGATTAATTCTCTCGCCGCCCAACCAAACGAAATCCCTCAAGAGGTTATTGAAAGTGGCTCCTTGAACAATCATCAACAATACGGAAGTCTTGAAGAAATTCAGTCTCTTGTATCCAATGAGAATCAAGTCATCACCCAACAAAATGAAATCCCTCAAGAGATTATTGAAAATGACTCCTTGAACAATTCTAAACAATACAGAAGTCTTGAAGAAATTCAGCCTCTTGTATCCAATGAGAATCAAGTCGTCACCCAACAAAATGAAATCCCTCAAGAGATTATTGAAAATGTACCCATTACCAAGAATTAATGAAATGATGGACTCTCTTTGGAAATGCTTACTGATTTTCATCTATGGACTTAATCTCTGGATACTGGCAGATTGAAATGAAAGAGGAAAATAAACCCAAAACTGCTTTCATCTCCAGAGAAGAACTATTCAAATTTAATGTCATGCCTTTTGGATTATGTAATGCTCCAGCAACTTTTCAACATGCTATGGATACAGTACTAGGAGAATATAATTGGAATTTTGCCAATATGTATATTGATGATCTAAATATATTCTCAAAAGATTTTGAAAAACACCTAGATCATCTTAATAAAGTATTTTGCAGAATCAGAAATGCCAATTTGAAACTTAATTCTGAAAAATATAATTTTTGCTGAAGAGAATTACCATTTCTTGGATATATTATAACTGAAGAAGGAATTTTCTCTGACCCATCAACTATTCAAAAGATACAAGATTTTTCTCAATCAAGAACTATTAAAGGACTTCATTCATTTCTTGGATTAACTAGACATTACAGAAAATTTGTAAAAGAATTCTCTCAAATTGCTACGTCACTATTCAAATTACTTCACAATAAAAAATTATTCATTTGGATTGTAGATCAAGAAGAAGCTTTTCAACAAATCAAATGACATCTTACAACTGCACCTATTTTGATTTATCCTGACTTTATAAAGAAATTCTATCTTTATACTGATGCCTCAGATTTAGAACTTGGAGCTGTCTTATCTTAGAAAGATAAAAATGGAAGAGAACAAGTAATTACTTATGCAAGTATTACTTTAAAACCAAATGAACAAAAATATGGAGTAACTAAAAAAGAAGCACTAGCAGTAGTATGGGCTGTTAGACAATTTTGTCATTATCTACTTGGAACAGTTTTTGAAATTATTACCAATCATAATGCCTTGAGATAGTTATTTAAAAATCAATCAAGACATTCTGCTAGAGTAAACTGCTGAATCATGTCTCTTATGAAATATACCTTTATTATTACTTATCAACCTGGAAGAAAGAATCAAAACACTGATGCATTATCCCAGATATATTCAGAAGATCATTAAACAAATTTACTCTTTACAATAATAATATGGATCTAATAACTTATTACAATTTACAATGATATTTGGACAATAAAACTTATCCTGTAGGATCAACTCTTAAATAATAACGCAAAATTCATAATCAAGCAAAACATTTTTTATAAATCAATGGCATGTTATACAAAATTAACAGGAAAAAAGAATCAACTATATCTCTTAGAGTTATCAAAGAAAATAAAATGAAAGCTATTCTTATTAATTTACATTCAAGCTCATTATCTGGATATTTTGGATAT